GTAGAATTAAATATAAACCTTCAATGAACCCACAAAAAATGTCCTCTCACTGGATAGGAAGCTGTCGAGTGAGTTCTCCAGAGAACTAAGCGCGCCAGATTTTAATGGTTTCCTGAGGTACAAGTGTAGAAATGTTAAACTTTTTGGCCCAAAAAATCTATTTTCGACTTAACGATAAACAATTCGCTGCAGCTGATCGAAATACCTTGCATTTCTTAGAGGTACTAAACATGGCAGTCTGCCCTGAAGGCCTAAACGAACCTGGATGTACATTCGTGACTCAAGAAAATATCATGAATTTACATTAAATCTTTTGATTACTAAGAAGCCCACTTATTTTAAGCCCTTTCACTCCCATGATTGCTTTTTTGATTTCATTCCCATTGTTCAGTTCTAAGGATAAATTTTTCGACCACTCAAAAGATTTAGGGCGTGTTTGATTGATCGTATTCCGGAACAAGATTATATCGAAAATCACTTATTAAAAAAGAAATAATTAGATAAATTAAATAAATAGAAATCACTTATTTTGGCGTTTATTGTATTGCGACGTAGCGTCTAAGTTGTCCAAAAATTACAGCACAAGATATTTGTGACAAAACTTTTGCGTATTCTTATTCTGGAAGAAGATCACTTGAATTCACCCTTAGTAAGTATAGCTTTACCGTTGTGCTGTTTAATGCGCTGTGAACGGTGGTTGAAGCTTTTGAGTAAGTCAAGGAAATGTAACCATTTAAATAAAATTGACTCAACTGAACTCTCCTGTAGCGCTGTTCTGGTTCTAACTTTCGGGTTTGCCAACGAAATTCTTAAGTGCGGCCATTTAGGTAAAAAATTGAGAGCATTACCTTCCCGTGTGGTACTGTTCATCATCCTGTACAAGATTATTCTAACTTCTGTGTGAAATCATCGGATGGGGAGTGTGAGGGTTTGTATTCGATTTCCATCTAAACATGAGGTTGGCATTTCAGCAAAATGTACATACTTTTAACCGATGTGTATTTGTTCGTGACATGGATACTGTCGATATCTTTTGTATGGCATGTTATTTGGCAAAAGTCTATAGTTTAAAGCTAGCTGTAATTACATTTAGACATTAATTCAGTTGCTGACAAAAATATTCTATACAAATTAAATCTGGGGCGGTTTCCGGAAAAGCAAAACAGGAAAGCGTGCCTTTTACTATTACACCGAGAGCTCAACTTCCGCAACAATCTTTGTAAGACTATTAAATAGAAATGACACAAAAAATTACAGTCAGGAAAGAGGGCTTCACCTAAGTCCTAAAAGATCCGTCCCTATAAGGAAGCGTAATTAAAAAAGTTAAAAAGTGAACATAACTTCCAATAGTGCTGGTTTCAACTGCAAGACTTGCAGACTTACATGCGAAATATATCAGTTTCCAAGGGTTGAAACCTCAAGAAGAAGAATTAGGCAAATTTCCTTATTAAGTATCCCAATTTTGCTGAGATTACAGCGTGTCTTTTCCTTTAAAATGTTATGCGTCTCTTCTGTTAGTTCTGTACGTTCTGCTCTTTAACATTTTGTTGACGACCAAAATCAGAAAGTCCTTCTAAATACAGTCTAAATGTGGTACGTTCTTACGGCGGCACGTAAGCCGGAGGCAATCGATAACCCGAGTAAGTTGGTTTCCTAGGGGTATTGCCACCGGGGCCTGCTTGGTTGCTGGGTGTTTTGAAAGAAGTGAAGGTTGGAGCCTGGTACCCTGTCCTCTCGGTCAGGGGTGTGTCACCACTGGCGTGACTCAGTGATGGACTCCTTGGATATATAGGAGGAGCAAGAGGCGGCTTCTCGTTCGGTAAGACAAGCGGTTGCTTCAGCAGCCTCTCTTTCACCTCGTATTCTTCCTGCAGGACAGCGGGCTTTTTCTGAAATACAAACACGTTCTTGTCTTCGAGCGAAAGCTTTCGCTTGCGACGCGATCGCATCACAAGGAAAAGAGCAATAACGATAACGAAGAGTACAACAACAAGGATCACTACTGGGATAATGACGTAAGTCTTCCAAGTGCTGCCAGTGGCTGCACCTACGACAACGGGTACATCACCCGCACACGGTCCGAAGGCTTCAAATGACCCAGATGTGACAGGGAATTCAGGTGAGAGCGCTTCCTTGAGACTGGGACTAACATCACCGTCATCATTTTCGAATTGTTCTCGCAACGGAAAATTGCATTCGTCTTCCGGAACTGTGTCGAACTGAAACTTCAATCTCACCGAACCTTCGACGAACTCCCTTATCCTTATATTGCTCACGTTAAGGTTGAAATACTTGGCAAGTTTGTTCAGAAGATCCATTCTGATGTTCAAGTGGCTAGAAAACTTTTTAAAATTGTAATCCAACGTGAGTTTGAACTGGTGACTATAAGATTTTGTGTCGTCCCACACCTTTACCACAATCGCGTCCACAGCTTGACCTCCCTTACTGTCAGTAGCAATAAGGACAAAATCGTGAAGTTTTACCGTGTCTTTGTCAACAGGAAAAGCATAAATTATTTGCTTTTCCGCATCAAGGCCAATCCAAGACGGCAGGGGCTCAGTTCCGCCTGCAGTTCTCAAAACTAGAGTCAGATTGGGTGTCAACATATCTTCTTTGTCGTAAAAAGTATCGTGGGGTATGTGGAATATAAGTCCTTGCCCTCGATAAACATTCAACATGTCGATGGGATTTTTTACGGTGGGGAAAGCGTTGCTTGGAACAGTTGAGCTTGGTACAACTGTTTCCACGGCTACCGGCGATGGTGTTGGTCTTGTAGAAGAGTCTATAGGCTCTTCAGTTGTAGACGACTCTTGTGATGTCTTCACTGTTGTTCTTGACACTTCAGTGGTTGAGGACTCTGCTTGTGTTGAACTCTCTTCCTCTGTTGTGCTTGGTAACGGTGCCGTGGTTGAAGTCTTAGTAGTCGGTTGTTCGGTAGTGGTCGGCTGTTCGGTAGTCGTCGGTTCTCCCGTCGTCGGCGACTCTTTCGTCATCGTCGGTTCTTCGCTGGTGGTCGGTTTTTCGGTAGTGGTCGGTTGCGGGGTAGTAGTCGGCTGTTGGGTAGTGGTCGGTTGCTCGGTTGTGGTCGGTTGTTCGGTCTTCGTCGGCTCCTCTGTAGTCGTTGGTGCTATCGGAGTTGTAGTTGGTGTCACAGTAGAGGTAGGAACGACCGAACTTGTTCTAGTAACAGTAATTGTCACACTAGCAATGATGGATGTCGGCGGAGCAGCAGTTAGGGTAGGTGTGGGAGTCGGCTGAATCGCCCTTACGTTACGCCTTGAGGAATGTTGTGTAATCTTAGCGGCTTTTCCCTGTACAGCTTGTCTGCGAGCTCGATGTCGTGGTTCTTTGGGATGACCCACAGCAATGTGCCATTCAGTGACAGGAAGCCCAAGCGCATGACTGAAGGCCCCAGTCTCTGCGCTTGATTTGAGAAAAGAAGCTATGCGCGCCCCTGGAGAAAGAAAGGAACGTAATTAGTCGCGCATTTCTCGCGAGGTTAGAAAACATTTAATTTCAGAATACTGGCCACATGCACGCAATAAAGGCTTGGTTTTGCAGTTTAAAAGCGAAGGATGCACGAAAGGTGTACTTCTAAACATTTTAACACCAATTATAACAAACCTGAAGAACAGAACATGATTTGCTAGATCTCTAAAATTTTGGAGAGATGGATATTACCTTTTCCAACTCGCTCTAGTTTGCCGACCGATTACTAGCTACCAGTAACTCGATTTGAGCACTGAAATTGCCGTCTGGGGGCCCCGAGTTCGATGTCCGCCCTCACTGCAAGCTGGATTTGTTTTTGATAGTCCGGAATGCAACTTCTCTTTCACTTGTAAATAACCAGCTGCTTTGTCTCCCGCCAGTTGGAATTGTTAACATTGGCAAGTTTATTTTTAGATGTTTGTTTCTGTCCTTATTTGTGCCCCATAATAAAAACTACTTGGTTACTAGTAATTGTGTTACACTTTCTTTTTAATCTGACTTTAAAGGAGCTGTGTCACGAAATTTGTCAAATTTCGAAAACGGAGAACTGCTACCAATACAAGAGAATTCACGGATAGACAAACTTGAAGATTAAAACGGATCGGTTGTGATATTATTGTGGTTTTTGAAAACTTGTTGGCCTAACAGTTTTTCAACGTTCATTTTTGCTGTCTGTAACAGTTTCTTACGATGGCTCTGGAGAGTTGTTTGCTTGGCACGAAGTCGTGATTTTGTCAGTAACAAGTAAATTCCTCGTTAACATAACTTCGAAGTTCCTAAGCGAATTAACACGCGTTACTGGTAATATTAACCCAATCAACTAGACAGTCGTGACAAAGACTGCGAGCAGCATTTTTTTTTCTTCATCTTTAGTGAGGGGAGTGCACGCGCGCGAGAACGTCGAGCGACGAAGCCGCGAGACGCGAGAAATGAGGGCGGTACGCGCGTGGTCATTTTCGTGTCTCTAGCGTTTCGCTCGACGAACTAAAGCTACAATAGAACGGGCAACAAAAACGTGAAACTTATTTTGCATCATTTTCCATCGTGGGTGGCAAAACGCGAAATATCACTATTCCTCTCGTTCGTAGCAATGTTGCAAAACAAGTTTCACGTTTTTGGTTGCCCGTTTTACCGTACCTCAAGGCTCGTAGACTAGTCGTGACACAGCCCCTTTAAAAATCCCTCGAAGTCGTCTAGTTGGAGAGAGGAGTTTAACTTACCAGGTATATCAATACCACAGCCGATTTGCCAGGACACCACCACACCAGGCTGCTTGGAATCTGCCACGTTTCCTGGTCCCGCAGTAACAGTTATCACATCCTTGAAACCGAAAGCCGTGTTGTGTCCTTTACCTGCCAATAAGTGAAGATTTTTCACATCCACGTCAACAAAATCACTGACTTTATTCAAGATCTCTACTCTCGCTTGTCCAGAAAGTTTCCCTAAGTGGTAATCAAATATAATGGACGCTGCGGCAACAGGCAAGCCATTCGGACATTTTGGCTGTGGATAAGAACGAATCTTGGTATTGTTTGAGTCTGATGAAGGCTGAAGATCGCCATCTCGTAAGTCTTTAATATCGATTTTCAAAGAATGTTTAATACTTCCGTCTTGAGCTTTAAAATCTAGGTAAAGTTCTCCTCTATCTCTCCATGAAGGCACACCAGTTAAAGATGCTTTCTTTGCATCATAAGACAGCCATTGAGGTAGTGATGTCTGTTGTTTCTGAAACACCTGGAAGTAGTGAAGAGAAGAAAAACAATTTCAATAGATTCATTAGCCACTCCCTTGAAACGGTTTTCGAGAACAATTTCTAAGCTTCAGAGAAAATTAACAATCATGCCTCGTTGTTTAAAGGTTGGAGAGCGCTATCCACCGCTTAAATCGCTATCCAGTGGATAAGTGTCAGAGAAATCAGTTTCGTTAGCTGTGGAAAGTGATTTATCTGGTGGATAACTCTATCAATCTTTTGAATAACTGAGGCCAGAAAAATATAATATTTTGTTGTGTAAAATAATGTGAAAGTAGATCTACTGTACTCCGAAGTTTGTGGCGGAAGCAAGTTCAATGGTTGCCCTACAAGAATTCGTCTACAGCCAGTACAGTTGAAACTAATTTTACACAGAATGAATAGTGGCAGGGAGAAAAAGGGAAGAGGAGAGATAGGTTGTGAAAAACAACCTTTCTCTTCCATCTTCCTTTCACGTTTTGCCCCTTCTGGCCCCTCCCTTCTTCTACACGTTCTACCGAGGTCCGCTACAGTACAGGATTCCACTCAGTAATCCGATTTGCGCTCTCTCACTTTTGGATCCGTCCATTTTTCATTCCCGAAACTAAGATATTTAAGGCTAATTTTAAAGTTAAGAGCGGCCAAGTTGGAGCAATGCCGAAAATTCACTTCCGGTTGGAAATGAACTGGTTGACAGTCCTACTATTTGTCAATTATCTCCCCAATTTACATACGCGATCGCTCCCTGGCAAGTGGCCAAACGAAATCTTCGACAGAGATTGTTGCCAGTATTATCTTCTTTGTATGACAGTAATGTACCGGAGGAAAATACTGCTCAGAAGCTTTCATTTGACAGTCTTTCACAGATTTAACCTCACCCAACAGCAACAAAGGGATAGAAAAGCTCTGTCAGCAAGCTCGCGGTTTTGAGTGTTTTTTTGTGGGCCGATTATAGCTCAATCCCATTAGAAGATTCACTTCCGTTAAAACCGAGGACTTACAGTCAAAACAAGCCTGACCTCACGTATTAGATTTTGTCAGGATTCCCTGAAAACGTTGCTTCAAAAGGGTCAAGTAAGCAGAAGATTTACTTGACTTTCACTCGAAAAGTCAGAAATTTTCAGGAGATTTAGCTAGAGGAGCGAGAAACTCGGAAAGTAAGGAATGAAGTAGTTTTTCCAGTCTCCCCTCTCTTCATTTCCAGCTAATGATATTTCCGATCACTAACAATAACATTCTTAAAAAAGTGCAGACCTTGCAGTAATTGGATTTATCACTTTTCCAAGCATTTGTTGAGGCAGAAGATATAGAAAGATGCGGACAAACTTTGGAATTGCCCAAAAGATTTATAGACATACGCACAATCACGCCTTTCCGATATTATGTTCTCTTAAGGTCACTTGTGGTCTAATACGAACAGTACTGCAAATAATTTCCCCGTCCTTTTCAAGCCACTGGAAAGCAGGTGGTGATTGCCAAAAAAGGCATGTCTTAAACACCTGGTAGTTTCTAGTACATATTACTTATGACAATAATGCAATAGCAATTACAATTGCTACTTCAAGCAAATTGTACGCACTTTTCGAGTGTGTCAAGTAAGCGAGATTTTCATGGCCCGGCCAGCCGATCGCGTGATGGTTCAAACCCGGCTTGGCAGCAACTGTTTCGAAAACGGCAGGCTATCATGACTGAGAGAGATATCAAACCATCCTTTACATACGGTAAATAGATTTATTTAACTTTCAATTCAACTAAAACAGCAAAAACAAATCATCTAGAACATCCCATCAATGTTTTGTTTTTGAGGTGGAGCAAAAGCAGTTAGGGTGATATATTGAGATAGAGTTGAAGTCCGGAAATCATATCAGCAAAATACGCCAGACGTCACATGTTAATGCGCAGACAAACGAGAACTGTCCGTTGCGAAACCGAAACCCAACATATTTGTTCAGTCAACTAGCAAACAGGTTGTAGAACAACTTTCCTGTCTTGCCAGAGAAATCACAGATAAACTGATAAATAGCAGCGATAAACAGGGAATCACATAGCGCGGTTTTGAAAGAATTTTTTTCGTTATGACCGGTATGTCTCATGCATTCTGTCCATTTGACACTTCAGCGGGTTTTAATTTCTTCATACAACACCCTAATTCTTCACCGCCATGAAACCACAACAAAGAGCGTGATACAGAAATCGTTTTCAAATATGGCAAAACTTACAAAGTTTCGAGCTAAACTGCATTGGCAAAAATGTTTTAGAAAAAAAAAATAGCGCACGCGAGAGCGCACGAGAGTGTAAAATGTGACAGGGCTTAATACAGATCACATGCGTCCTTGATGAGGAATTTTCTTTGGTACGTTGGAAACCACGTTGGCCAAGTTCAACGTGCGTGCTGTGTTCTCATAAAGGGACGTCATTCACTTGCTTATTTAAAAATGTCTTGAAATATTTGCATTCACAAACACGCAGATGTTAAATGAGCAATACAAATGCTAAACAGAGATTATAAGTTTGATTGTTCGGTGAAGGACGTCCGCCGAAAACATTACCCGCGTAATCATTAGAATAGAAATTTATTTCAGTGTTAATCAGAAAACATAAAGAACGTCACAAAATACTATAAAGAACAATGTTAAATAGTATCAAGCCTTATGAAAGTGACTAAGAAGCTATTTGTACCGATAATAAAAACTTGTGCTCAATTCATTTTGTACCTTCGCAAGAGAAACGTCGTTACAAACTCACCTCGTACTGGCCTTGTTTGTCTAGTCCCTCTTCTGCCAAAGTATACACAAATATTCTTCCTACAACTGCTATTGAATTATGAAGTCTTTCGTCTCTTTGTTGGTTCTCGCATGCGGTGAATACTACAACTGTGAGCAACAAGCACGCTAGACACGCTCCACGGATTACAAATGCCATGGCGAAGGTCTTTTACGCTCCGTATTTTGACAACTGGCTTTGTATCACCAATTCTTCGTGATATAAAATGGTCTAACGAGATTAACCAACGCCAGCGGCAGTGATTTGACGAATTTCAGCGCAGTTCTTCAGCCCTGGTTCCTCTCCTAAAGGAAACGTTTTACAACGAGAAAATATTAGCAAATATCCGCCCTAGTTCTGAAGGGCCGATGACAAACTGCTTCAACAATAATCTTTATATTTATACCTCGTCAGCTCTGTTCCCTTAATACTCACGTCCACTGCCAGAGGGAACTTAATAATCGCTGGGATTACCCCTCAAAAATAACATTTACACGTTAAGACTAGAAAGACACCTAGCTACAGAGATTATAATTATTAGCAAGGGCTTTGTGTGCGCCGCCGGTATAAATTCCACAAGAATGCCCTGATTACGACCGCGACAAATTCCAAGCCATGTTGAAACCCCGCGGGGTGCCTGACAATGAAAAGTTAAATATTAGAAGTCATCACCAATGTTTTCCTGATGAGACCCATTTGGAAACAAAGCTTCTGTTTTTTCCTACCTCTGTAACAGCTTGAGACGAATCGAAGTTTACAAACAATGAGAAGTGAATTAATTCTCTGAAAGAGTGTAGTGTTTCAAGGCGTTAACACTGAAATACTCTTTCTTTCACGGTCCTGTAGGTTTGACCTTTTGAGCTTAGGACGGCCGGACGAAGCAAAAAACACTCACCTGAATGGTGTCAAATTGCCTCTGAAGCGATGACGAATGATCAAACGCTGTTCTTGATTTTTTGAAGTCACACAGCTGTGCTACATTCTAGGTGCTATAACTTTGTGATAAGAGTTTTAAACCTCACGTATGATACCAACGAGGAATTCATTTTTAGGTTGGAAAATTAATCCCTTTAAAGCCATGTTTTCTAAGGAAACAACAGAGAAAGTGGCCTAGAACTATAGTATCAACATCAAATGTCGCTTTTTACTATTGCTGTGGGTGCATTCCCTGGGGTGCCATTTAGCTTTTTAAAGTCACGTCCAACACTAAAATACCCTTGCTTCCCAAGGCCACGACACAAAGTACATTTAGGTCTATTCAAACACTGTTTGTAAAAGTGTACAGCGTACATTAATATGAACAGAATTTTCTTGTTTACATATGCACCATGTTTTGAACAATTCTGACCCTGTGGCAATGTTAACAAGGAGACGTACAGAAGGTGGGTGTCTAGAAAACTCAGACCTAGAAAACACAGACCACAGACCTCAGACCTAGAAAACCCAGACCTAGAAAACCCAGACCTCGAAAACACAGACCTAGAAAACCCAGACCTCGAAAACACAGACCTAGAAAACACAGACCTCGAAAACACAGACCTAGAAAACCCAGACCTCGCAATTTAAAACGAGTCTTAAGACCTACACATTTGATGAAAACAGTTTACGCATGGCGCTTATATTCCGTATAGTTTATAGCTACTGGCGTGCCGACTTTGCTTTTTTTTGGTCGTTTGACGTTTATCTATAGCTATTGCTGGACTGAGCAACAAGAAAAGGCAGCAGTCAAACGCAGGCTTCCTTTGTTGGTCTAGGATCCATGATTGCGTGATGGAATGCCCCATTCTTTTTTTTTTATCTTTTCCCTTAAGTGTTGTTTTGCAATATAATTAAAAATGTAAAGCGAAATAAAATATATGGACTGAGTAGTTTTAGTAGTGTGAAGGAGATGATTCGGAAGGCCCTGCAATTTTCGTGAATACATCACACATCATCTTTATTAGCGACTAAACAGCTGACTAAAAATCACAATTACTTGGTACAACCGGAGCGGCAAATTGTAAAACATCAGTAAATGAACAGCAACAACGACAACATTGAAAACCACGAAATTGCAGTCTGTCAGCACTTAAACGGCCGCTTTGCCCATTCTTCAGTGCTGTTTCCATTAAGTTATTTGTTACTTTTGCGTTACTACATTAGTGGAAAAACCATGTTCATAGAAGTAAAGCTGTTGTTCTTTTTACTAGTCGTTATAAACAGGAACTGGACTACATCGAAAATATCGCGTCCCAATCCAATGTTAAATAACGACAGATCGCAGGACATTTAAATAATTAGTAAGACAGCGGACGGCTGCATATTCCAGAGAATTAGGCGGCATTAATTTGCTTCTACTTGAGATCCTGAAAACTTTTCATTTAGAACATTCCCATGCAGTCCTTGTAGAGATTGAAATTGTACATAACAGATAACGAAACTGTATCAAAAAAACAAAAAATATATGTTAAAATATATGAAATATATAATGATTAACGAAATATAACGAAACTTATCCTTCCATTCAAGTTTTTGTTTCCAATAAACCAAGAAACCATCTGTTATAACCGAGTATACTTGCTCTCAACAGAACTCTTCCGTAGTATATCGTGGATGAAGATTTCATGGTTAAATTGCTTTCTTGGTACATCTTTAAGTGGTTGCTTTAAATCAGTAATTTATGTTTTGTTAGCACTAATTGAGCTTTGTACTAGTGATATCCGGTGACTTACAACGTTCTTCTTGTGGTCATAAATATAGCAGAGCCAGAAATCCTTACTACAGTCTCAGACAAAAATAGTTGTTCATGGCGGTTCGGTCACCACATCTTGTACACCAACATTGAGGGGACAAGGAGACCCCAAAGTGTCCCAACCATTTTGACTGAGACTGTAGCTCTTACAGACTTACAGCAAACACATTAGCACTTTCCTACTTCAGTTTTTGTAGACATCAGTTTGGCTTCTGTCATGCTTTTTCTTTTAAAGTTAACGACTTCAGGCGCGGATCTAGGATAAATGCTGACCCATTTCCTAAACAAGCGCCAAAAGCGCAAGCTTCCCGAGGGGGCTCGGGAAACATGCTCCCCCTGGAATTTGTTTGGATTTTAACTGGTATCAGAAGTTTATATGCCTCTGCTGGTATACAGTAATAATGAAATCTAAGAAATGTTACCAATTAACTAATTTCCGCAAGTGCAAACCATCTTTCTTCAAATCAAGTCGAAGTAGCGCCGGAAGTAGCGCTTTCCGCTTCTAAGTGTATTTCCCTTATCAGGAGGTCAAAGTGCGACCTTTGAAGACGGGAGTTGACCTCAGGGGGTATTTGCAGTAATGAGGGATCGTAATATGGAAATCTGCTCTTAACACAAGTGCCATTTACGCAGTAGTACTTTGTCGTGTACTTTGTCGATGGCAGTTTGCGGCCTGGCTCCTTGGGATCTGGATACGACCACTTCTCCTCATGTGACAGTACCACATCGTAAGGTATGATCTTTTTCCGTCTCGGAAATTCAATATGGCACTGTCTACACTCCTTTGCTTTAGGGTTATCCTCTAAAAAGCAGAGAACTAGAGGCTTGTTGTTGTGGTGTATCTCAGTATATGGCCGCTGGTTTGTGTCGTCTGTGGACTTGGCGCGACTTGGTCTCCAGGGATTTCTGTGACTGCCACCTTTCTTGCCTTGGGCATCCTTTGATGGTTCGATGAGTGCACTCTTAGAAGGAGCCTTACGCCTCGATGTTTTTCGAAGGAAATCTAAATGTTCCTTAATCATACCTGTTTTCTCGGCAACGCTTAAGCTGTGTTTGCAGAGTTTATTGAACTTGTAACAAGAGCAAGCACAAGTTACATGATCACTGTACACTGCGCATTCGTACATCCCTTTCTTGCAATTCTGAGCTCCAACAAGAAATTTCTTTCTTGACGCGACCGTTAACGATGGCATTGTTTGAATGGCGTCTTTGCAATTAAGTAGTGCCTCTGCAGCCTGGACAATGGTATCAACTAAGCCATTTGTCCAGTTCTCATTGAAATCACACGGAATTTTGCTGCCGAGTTTAACATTTATTCACTAAAGTACTGAAAAAATAAAGGGCAAAGCGTTCGTTTTAAAGACAGTGCTGACAAACTGCAATTTCGTTGTTTTTATAGTTGTTGTTGCTCTTCATTCACCCCGATTTTTAGTCAGCTGTTTAGTCGCTAATAAAGATGATGTGTGATGTATTCACGAAAATTGCAGGGCCTTCCGAATAATCTCCTTCACACTACTAAAACTACTCAGTCCATATATTTTATTTCGCTTTACATTTTTAATTATATTGCAAAACAATACTTAAGGGAAAAGATAAAAAAAAAGACTGGGGCATTCCATCACGCAATCATGGATCCTAGACCAACAAAGGAGGCCTGCGTTTGACTGTTGCCTTTTCTTGTTGCTCAGTCCAGCAATAGCTATAGATAAACGTCAAACGACCAAAAAAAAGCAAAGTCGGCACGCCAGTAGCTATAAACTGTACGGAATATAAGCGCCATGCGTAAACTGTTTTCATCAAATGTGTAGGTCGTTTTAAATTGCGAGGTCTGGGTTTTCTAGGTCTGTGTTTTCGAGGTCTGGGTTTTCTAGGTCTGTGTTTTCGAGGTCTGGGTTTTCTAGGTCTGTGTTTTGGAGGTCTGGGTTTTCTAGGTCTGAGGTCTGTGGTCTGTGTTTTCTAGGTCTGAGTTTTCTAGACACCCTACAGAAGGTTGCCGAATACTGCTAAATGAAACGCAGATCGGACAGCTCTTATCTAACAGTTGTCAGCTGAATTTGCGATTTTAAGCTCCATTCCAGGAGATAATCAGATCTCTCAATTTGTTTGGGCATTTCTTTTTTTACTTACATAAATGAATTCCATGCGGCTACAAGAAAAATATTAGAATGTGACGTACACCCACCGAAAGCAGGCTGGCTTGAGAGAGGGGGGAAAATAAACTGTAAGCATAAAGAATGTGAAAAACCCACAAGGTGAGTGCATATCTGATAGTATTTATCAGAGTATTTAGAGCTCTAATTGTGGGATTTAAATTTGTCAAAGCCCATAGACCCTGATATTGATAACTAAAAGCAAAGAAAAAATAGGTTTTGAGTTTACATCACGGAAAAACGCGATCCAATAAAAATTTAACGAAAAGATAAACTGACGCAAAATGTTGGACT